GACCGGCTTTAAAGGGTTAAAGACAGGACAGGAAAAAGGTTATTTTCACTAAAACACTGGTGAAAAACAGAATAGAGTGAATGTCCACAAACTGGCAGAGCTGTGAAGCCTGGTGCTGTGATCTGGAGCTTGAAATATTAGTGAAATCTGAAAGCCATTTGTAAATTTACAGCCAGTCCTGAGCCTCTTTTAAGTGTTAGTGATACTCTATATCTCAGGAATGCAATACAGCAAACAACTGAGTGAGCTGCCTTTGTGTTGCATATGTGTACACTTTTTATATGACATTACTGCTCCTCAGTGTTAAAATCATGCTTATTTGACTTTATCCACTATACGATCTTATGTTTAGCTGCCTGCTGTGCTGTCTGACCAGAGATTTATGTCACTGTTTTAAACTCTAGTATAAGGACAACTGTCAGAAAAAAAAAGGGTCATGCTGGGTCCATTTAATGGATCAACTGGTCAAATACTGGACATTTTTTTCAAATACTGTGATCAAGCTTATTTTAATTCTACTCAGGTATATTTGCAGTTGCAGTATAATCCTGCAGTTGCTGTATTGTGTAGTTAAAGTTTTACGTAGGTGCATCCCAGGCTAGGCCCTAGGCTCAGGCTTTGGTGCCATTATACAGTGCCATCGCCAAAGCTCTGTAGCATTTATGCCTGCATGTAGGGTGCTATTGTCGCCACTCAGACAAAACCTCCACATCAGTGCTGATGTAGGAGGAGAAAAAGTGAAAACCTGAAGCAAAGAAATCACATTTTTGTCCAAAGTCTCCTTTTTTCAAACTGTGTTGGTACCAGCACAAACTGTGAGGTTACAAAAGCTGAGAGGCGCACAACTGAGCACAACACCAGCAAAGCGGAGGATGTGACATCACTGTTGTCTTGCCTTGTCATTTGCTGGGAGGAGAGTGGCAACATAACAGTCAGATTAGAGTTATGTGGCTCCACATTAGGTGTGGATGCAGTAGTGGGAGGTTTTTGTTACTTCTTTTGAACTGGATTTGAAGCCTTTCACGGACTTCCCCTGACTGAGATATTACCTTTATTGTTGCAGGACCTCTCTGAGCACTCCGAGCTAAAACTCGTCGTCTCAAAGGCGATAAATGTTTTAGGTAAATCCTGCATTTGTTCTGTGGAGAGCTTTTTGGGCTCGCAGAGCAGCGCAAACGAACTGAGCTCTGTCTTCACTGCAGCGCTTCGTGCTGCTTTCTTGTGCCTGAATGTAGCTGCTGTTGATAGTCGTAGCGTGTGGCTCGCCAACACACATCTGACTTAGAGCTGATTATACGTCGCTTAGCAACAGCAAGACGCCTCTCAGTGAAAAATATGAGCTTGTGCGAGATGAAGATCCGAGCTGAAGGAGGGGAATCATGATGTGCCTCGCTTTTATGGCATCCAGAGTGATCAAGCCATCACACTGATGGATGGAAATTAGGGCGATAAAAAGATCCGCAGGCCTTCGACGACGAGCAAAACTTCAGCACAGCGGAAGATGTAAAACAAGGAAAATCGGGATATTTCAACTACATTACATTAACAGCCATTTACGTTCATGTAATCTGATGTTTCTGTCTAGAATTTACTTTTTTTAATTCACATTTTGTATGTCAACTTAACTAAAAATGCCTGAACAGCTGCTAAGAATTTAATTTCTGACCCGATTGTGGAATATGAGTTATGTCAGCTGTAGAAGAATTGGATGCTTCTCTTGGTACGATGACAAAACACACGTTGGTGCTTTAACAGCTCACTCTGCTGACCTGCTGTTCCTAACAGAGTATAGTTTTTCAAAACAGATTAAAATAGTTTGGATTAGAGATGCACTGATCCAAGCTTTTGTGCTCTGATGCATTATCGAGACCCACAGATTGGCCTCGTTTCGACCGATATCGGATCCAACTATCACACTGTTGCATCCACAATTTTCAACCCTGGAACAGTTACAAAAATGTATCTAATGTAAAATGTATATAGATATTTGGAATGATTTTAGCTGACAAAAATGTGTTTCCATGTCCAAAGATTTCATTTTAGGAAATAATAATAATTAATAATTTAGCACTTATCCTCCTTTCCTGCTCAAACGATGAACGATGTATTTACGTGTCCTGTAGTTCTAGTTAGCTCATACTGATGTCTCATCCAGTAACATTTCTTTGACATAATTATAGACTGTATATAAAGGACGGATGTAGGCATTGTGATATGACTCAGTGGTTGGTGAAGCTTTGAGTTCAGCTTTTTGACCGTCAGTGTCTGCTTTCAAATAAAGACATTACAGTCTGACTAAGGACACTGCGTGCTCATACAGCACACATGGGCTCAACCCCATTCCATTCTTTTTGATTAGAGAGAGTGTAAAATGTGAATGCAGCTTCCTAGTCTGAAAAATAAAGCCAACATTGTAGCAGACGTATAAAAGTCACTAAGATTTTTCAAATGTGGAACCATTCTACTAAAACTTATGGAGTTTAGCACAATTCAGCACAACATGCATCATGTTTCAGCTGAGTAGTTCAAAATGTGGCCGTATACCTGACTCTGTCATAAAGCACAGCCTTCTTTACTGTTCACGTGACTCTAACGTGGGACAATAATTTACCAAATGGCCATGCAATAAAAAAAACACTTCAAGCTAGAAAAAGAGATTATAAACTCATCTGGAAAAGTTTTACTAACTAGCTAAAAAATCAAGCGAGTCGCGATAATTTGTTCATAGATTTTTACAACAGCTAACTTCTCTCTGCAGCTACAAGAGTCTCCCCCTGCTGGAGCTAAGAGAGAATGCAGGTTTAAAGCGCCGCCATTGCATCGGCTCGACTTTGTTCATCTTTAATATTCGTTTTATGGACATTAGTTAAAAGTTCTCACAACTAAAAGAGCCCACATACAGAAACATGTTCCATTAGCTTTTAAGACTTAACAAAAACAGTGATAAACACTACACAGAATTTCTGACAACATTACTTGCACAGGTCCACGTCCACCAGCTGTCTCGGGGCAGGAGCCACCTGGGCCGCGCCGAGCGGAGGCTTCAGTGCTGCCGTTACGTTCCTTGGCAACATGGTCTGAGGGAGGGGCTTTGGCGGCAGCTCAGCCATGACCGGCGGATCATCCCCGTCTTCCACCTCTGCCGCTTTCGGCGGCACTTCGGGTCCGGCAGGCAGCCGTGGGAGCGGCGGCTTGTAGCCCGTCAGGAGGAACAAGGTGGTACTCGTTTTACCAGCAGCGGCAGAGCCGCCCCTGCCGCTCAGAGTCCTGATATCGCCATCGACAGCGCGTCGCCGAGTGGTGATGGTTACAGTGGAAACAGCGAGGCAGGAGAAAAGCAAGAGGATAAGGGATAAGCAAAGCATCCCCTTTAATATTTTAGACGTCATTGTTTTATCACAAAGTTCTCGAGCCAAAAAAGTCACAAACGGCTTCAAATGTCAGCGAGATCCTCCAAAAAAAACCTCCATTACGAAAAGTTTTATCTGCAGTCTGATGAACTAATCCCTCGGGTTGGATTTCAGCAGATTCGCGTTGTTCGAGCAGTGTTTCATGAATGCGTTTGGCGTGTCACTCCGTCATCTGAATGTAAACATTTCCCTCTGAATACAAATCCTTCCCATAAGCAGCGTTTGTAAACATTGAGGTCTTTTAGAGTTTTTTAGGCCCTATGCGATGTGTCTGTACAATGGCTGTAGACCTAAAGTAATCTAACTTAAAATTGATTAGAAATAGAGAATAATGTGGGTTTGTTTTATGGCAGCAGGTATTAAATGTTTAATTTTGGTCTGTCGGTCGACAAAGTGCCGTTTTACAGTCCGTTGGCCAAAAATCTTCAAAACAGGCAGTATTGAGACGTTTTCTGTAAACAAAATGAGTATGAAAAACTGTAAACTCGTCGTGTAATGACTCGTCCAGAAGAAGAGTCCTATGTCTCTGAATGCAGGGCGTTCTGGGAGCTGTTTATGGCACAAAAGTCATGTAAGAAACTGCAATGGAAACTGTGGTCTGTAAACATTTAGCGCTGGATGTAAACTTTGTAGTCAATGAGCTCTGACAGACGCTGGGTGTATTCTTCTCGGAGTTTGGCACTTCTGTTGTCCTGGGTGGAGAACTAACGCGTGAAAATTATACATGGAAATGAAATCAAATTCAACATCGAGCTCCGTGTGTCTCGTGTCTGTAAACAACAGTGCTGGCAGCTTTAGAGATCTCAGCTCTGTTTGGTGAACAAGCCAAGAGGAAGTCCGTGTAAATTTGGCACAAGCTGTTACTTAAACTTCTCTTACACCGCGCTCACAGTTTGCCCAATAAACCAAATCTCCCTTTCGAAGAATTTAGAGGAAGAGGAGCAGTAAAGGTCAGTATGCTTGAAATTTTGGTTTCGAACGATGGAACGGTGAGTTTATGAGTCGTGGGCTGTGAGCGCGACTAATAAAGGTACTATCACTGACGGCGTTAAGCAGCATCGAATCTATAAGAAAAAAAGTCCTTCCAGCAGCTACCGGAGGACAGACATCAGTTCATTAAGCGAGCGCGTCAAGGCATTCACAGAAGAGTGATCGATGGAGAGGATCCGGTGGATGAATTACAGGAAGAGACGACAGAAAGCGAGGATCTATGTGCGTTTGATACCCTCGCGCGAGTGTCTTTGCTCGGAATTGAGCTTGGCCCAGCAGAAGAGGACGAAGGAGGGCTTGGGCCCGGTTCTAGCAGGGCAGCGAGGTTCTGCCCACAGAACAGACATGAAACTGTCCGGATTCATCCGTCAACACAGAGGAACGCAGGGTGATGACGGGAACTCGACGCTCGCCACGCTCGACACCGCAGGCTGTGCGATCTAAAAACACGCAGGTAGAAAAAAACGTACAAAGCCGCTCTTTCATCCAAAGGAATGAAATTTCGGGTCACTAGCAGTTTCTTCGTCGACTCCCTGAATGTGTGTGTGCGTGCACCGACGTGACCGAGGATCACTTTGTTGCAGGAACCTTCAACATCGTGAGCTCTGTAAATGTATTCGTATGGCTGGTGTTCAGTATGGCTTTAGGTTATGTTCTTTTTTGTTTTGTTTTTTAAATATCTTTACAAATTTGATTTCCTTCCACAAAAAATGAAAGTACAGTGAAAGGTTTTAAATTGCATGTTTTTAATAGAATAAAAGGAAGAACGCAAAAAAGGTTTAAGAGGTCACTGGGAGTAGATAAAGGGGTTTTTTTTAGCGGCGTAATCAAGAGCCACGCGTGGAGGAAACAGAAGACGACGAAAGGGCGAGAGGCCTCTCTCGGAGAAGCGACTGGAAGAAGGAGATAGGCAAAGTGTCAACAGTGTTTCACAGCGCAGACTGAAACGACGGCGTACCTCCGAGCCTTTGAGATAGCAGCGGCGGCGGCGGTGTTGCCTCTGTTTATCTGTTTGACGTGCCTGTCAGTCAAACGCCGTCAGTTATCACAGCTTACCACACGCCTCCTCTGCTATGCATAACCATGAGCAGACCGACAGCTGGAGGATTTGTCTATAAAGCACTTTGAACCAATAATGCACTGATCGCCGCCCCAGTGAGAAAAATCACGACGTTCTAACATTAAAAGCAGCAAACACCGACCAAACGGGATGGGTATATAAACTTTTACAGACGTTATCTTGAAATTCAGTGTGGTTTTAATGGGACGTTGGATGTTTTGATGTATTTGTGGGTGATGTGTCCAAAGCTGGGTGACTAAATGAACTCTTTATATGAAGAGTTGTCGATTTTTTTTGCTTCTTCTCTTGACACAGTCGGTTTGGCACCTGGTTTTGGTCGTGATCGGAACAAAAGAGCGGTCAGAAATCGCGATTCCAACCACATAAAAATAAAAAAGAGTGGAAAAGGAGCAGGAAGTCAGAGCCTCGGCTCGGAAAACAGCTGAGAAAGTCCTCCAGGAAAACCTCCACTTGGCACAGCGACGGTCCGGATCAGATCCTTCACTCTGTTTCTTCTTCCTGTCTCTCACAGGTTCGCGTCCACTTCTTCGCCGGCTTTCACACTGCAACATAAGAACAGGAAACACAGGGTGTTTGTAAGACGATTTGCTGAGCTGGCTGTTATTGGTGCAGCGTTTCCACAGAGATATGCTCAACTTATGGTGGGGGATGGGCATGCTGTGAAAGGATGCTTTCAGAATTAAACCAAGTTGTTTGTGCTTAATAAATAAGTGGCCGAGCTAATCAAGTTGCATTCCACGTTCACAGACTGCAGCTGGCAGTCCTCGCGCTGCTCTGCAGCCTTGCCACATGAACCAGCGCTCCACCCGCTGCACGTACTGGTTACGATGACCTTCACTGCAAAACAAGAACTACTACTGCAGTCTGAGCACAGCAGCACAGCAGCAACGTGGCAGCAGGTTAACTTAACACAGCAAGAGAGACACTTCATCTGTGTATTTATTAGTGACTGAACTAAAATTACTATATTATTAACTATATTAGTAATATTAGGGTTTAAAATGTGTCTGTTTCCAACCAGAATTCGCTGTTATACTTGTAAGGTGTGTGCACCGACTTTATTTTGCTTTTAATTTGGAGTAAACAACTGTTTTTCTTTTTGGTTGTGCTAGCTTGTCTCCTCTGCTTTGCTCTCTGTTTCACCATGTGCACAAGCTCCTCCCCCTACACATAGAGCGAAAGACCAACACTGGGAACAGGAGGAAAAAGACTTTTAGCCCTCCCCCCAAAAAAAGCCTGCCAACACACTGTATCAAAGTATGGTGCGGCAGCTGCACTAAGGCGGACAGAGCGAGACTTCAGCGTGTAGTCAAGGCAGCACAGAAGATCCTCGGCTGCTCTCTCCCCTCCCTGATGGGCGTTTATTCTTCCCGCCGCCCCAGCAGAGCAGCAAACATCATCAAAGACAGCTCCCACCCTGGTTTTAACCCGTTCAGCCTGCTTCCCTCAGCGAAGCGCTACAGGTGCATCAGCACAAAGACCCACAGACTCAAGAACAGTTTCTTCCCAAAGGCCATAACCACCCTTAACTCATACACGCACCGATAACACAGTCCCACCCCTCCATTTGCCCATTTCCCCCTATAAACCACCACTGTGCAACACCATGTTCTATGTGCAATAACCCGAACTGTATATACACACTATTTATTTACATATTTACTTTTTTACATCAGATTGTATATTTTTACATTTCATTTTTTTTTCTGTTAATACTGCTCATATGTCACCAGTCACCTTTCTCACTCACTATGTATTAACAGACCTCTCTGCATTGAATCATATCTGTTATTAACCTCTGTCTCTCTTCCACAGCATGTCTTTATCCTGTCTTCCTTCTCTCACCCCAACCAATCACAGCAGATAGCCGCCCCTCCCTGAGCCTGGTTCTGCTGGAGGTTTCTTCCTGTTAAAAGGGAGTTTTTCCTTCCCACTGTCGCCAAAGTGCTGCTCATAGGGGGTCATATGATTGTTGGGTTTTTCTCTGTATCTATGAAGCGCCTTGAGGCGACATTTGTTGTGATTTGGCGCTATATAAATAAAATTGAATTGAATTGAATATGTATATAGTGCTGCAGAACTGTTGGAGATGCTCTGTATCTCACTGAGCAACTGTATAGTGACAATAAAGGCATTCTATTCTATTCTATTCTATTCTATTCTATTCTATATTGTCAAAACAAGGCCACAGCTCATTTAAAATGACCACTCCCGGTCTGAAATGTTTACACGATTGAGGGGTTAATGCTGCACACCTTTTTCTTCTGTTCACAAGGAGATTTTGAGACTGGCTTTGTTACTTCCTGTGTCAAGAAACAAAAGCCTAGAATTTAAGTCGAGATTGAATTTAGGCAGGAAATCCGTTATTAGGGCGACTGCGAAACAAGCCAGGAGGCTGGTGGTAATTTCCTATACTACTCTTGCACTGAGTACAGCTTCTTGACACTGAAACTGTGCTCAGCTGAAGGAGCTACGGCACACAAACATACACAAAAAACATCAGCTGACAGAGGAGATGGGAGCAGCTGTGATGTGACTTTGATAAAAAAGAGAGCAGACGACATGACAGATGCCATATGGACTCATTTGACAGAAGGACAGAGGAAAGACAGACCACAGATGTGTGTGTCTGTGTGTGTGTGTGTGTGTGTGTGTGTTCTGTTTGCAAAATGAGGCCTGCAGTGTTGGGAGTGGGAGACATGCGTAAGAGCGCTCTCAGGAAAAAAAAAAACTAACGCACCCTCATTTTCTTGCTCTTAATTAATGCTTGTAGTTTACACTTAAATCTGCTCTGACTGACATTTATTTCCTGTGACATCACATAAAGTCTACAGTCATCTAGTTTAAAAAAAAACATGCAGGTTTCATAAAAAACATGGCATCATAATGCAGTGACAAACTAATGTAAAGCAACAAACGAACAGATATTATTTAGGTTATTCAATGCATCAGCTATTCTTCATATGTACATGCAACAAATCTCCGATCTGGGAATCGGGGATCATTATATTGTCCTACTTCCAGTGTTGGGAAGGTTACTTTTAAAATGTATTCCATTACAGAATACAGAATACATGCCCCAAAATGTATTCTGTAACGTATTCCGTTACG